AATGGTTTTGTTTTTAAAGAGCTGGATGTATGAAATGTCAATAATTATACTAAAACGATCTTATTATAAGTAAATAAGGTCAACATCAAAGATACGCGAGTAATACGTAACCAAATGTACCAATAACCGTTCAATTAAATCACATGGTACACTTAACGTATTGCAAAATGATCTGGTTTAATAAAAAAAGCGCAAATTTCCGGCGTTTCCCACGAGGCGTCGCCCCGGTTCCCACATACGATTACTTTTTATTTGCAACTTTGTCGCAGGCGGTGCGCATGCGTCGCAAATCTGACAGCTATTGGTCGGAATCTATCGCAATGTGTCTTAAAATGTTCACACTTGAATACTTCGGATTCTATACGTATTAGCCCATAAAGGAACTCTCTCATAATTTTAAAATTATACTTGTTTTCCAATTATCTATTATAAATAAATATTAATATTACAATATCCTTTTAAAACCTATAAGCTCTTAAACCAAATTTTTAATTTGTAGTTCTGATATGTGGTGTGTAATCATCATTGTAAAATTTTATATACATTAAAACCAGTTGCTGTTCGTTAGTTTCGCTAAACATCGAGAACGGCTGAACGGATATATCTTATCTTGGTCGTGAAATGTTCGTAGAGGTCTAGGGAAGGTTTAAAAGGTAAGAAAAATTCGAGTAATTGCCGGGAACTATTTTTTTTATATTCCACTCGAACGCAGTCTCGGGCGACAACTAGTTACGTATATAAAATTAGTCAGTTATCCTAAGTGGCAAACCGCACTCTTTGGACTGTATTTGATAGTATTAAAAACTTAGCTTATACTAAGAAAGTATTATAACTTAAAATCTACTTGGAAAAGCAAAAAGCCTTAAAAATAAGAGTCTATAATCGTACGGGATCACTGTAAAGTGGAATAAAACATTTTAATTTACAGTTAATTGTGGCGAATGTGATCAACCAATTCATCTGTTGCGACTATTAAACTGTTATTTTATAATTATTATAAAGTTATTGATAATCAAGGCACGATCATGTGTGAGATTAAAGATTCCTCTTAACGCTCGACAGATCGCGGCCGCTCTGTATTACTGTCACGTATATCTGTGGCACAGATTCCAGAGTAATATGTACTCACATCATACTACTTAATGTTCCTTCACTATACAACATATCTTACATATATTTAAGATATATTGATAATCATTTTTAATATTTAAAAATCAGCTCTACTAAAGATTTCTATTTATACTATTTAGTAGTTAATTTTAATAACCTATACATAAATGAATCTTTTATGAACATAAAATTAAAGTCAATCGTAGTATTAAATTATTCAAACTTTCGTGAGACATTATACTAAACTGATATATAATCTGTGTTTATATATCAGTTCAATCGTAGTATACAAATGCAAAAAATTAATGCTGTATATTTTATAATTATTGCATTTCTTCTATACAATTTTCTCTTTATTACATCTTCACTATAACAAGATGCCATTTAAGTAAAATCTTCGACGATGTTTTGAAGGATTTATTAATGTAGATTTTATATGAAGTTAATAACCTTACTGTAACTTAGCATTGATCGTGAGATCGCTTAGAGCCTTTTACCGAGTTTCTTTTTTACGGCAATCGATCGTTGAGTCGGCATAAAACATCCAATAACGTCATCGATAATTCTAAAGCCCAACTCCATATATCTAACGTTCATACATCGTAGAGTAATTTCATATCTCGTCATAAGGCGATCGGCGCGACATGTTACCTAAAATAGTGTTGTGAAATAAATCAAAGATTGTCGATGTCGATATGTTGCGGGTTAAAAAAAATGGCGCGTGTGAATCTGCTCCGGTTGCGATCATATGAGAGAATATAAGGTATGTCAGTTATTTACACGTATGACATATGAAGCCAGCCGATATTTAGTTAGGCTCCTGCAATGCCTTCATAACTGTAGCTCACACAACTGCCTTACCTCACTAATATTATAAATATAAAAGTTTAGATTAGTTTCTAGTACTACAGTTTTACAGTTTCCAGTTGCCGTAAACAGTTATATTAATTAGTTATAATTAACTGTAATCGATCAGATATCTTCCATTACACTTTAGGATTTTCATATATTCAAGATCGATTGCAGTAAATATTTTTTAAATATATTTTTTTGAAGAATTCTATTCCAAAGTCCATACTAAAATATGAGTCTGATGATGTTACGCGTATTTGTAGATCTACTGAATGCGTTTGTAAAACATTTTTGGTATATAGATTGTATTATGTCTTCATTTAGTTGTCGAAAATAATATTTTTGTACATATGTGCCGGCATTGGAAAGTTATAGCGTTGCAAATTGCAGCGTAAGCACCTCCCATATGTTCCGCACTGGTAACCAAGCGGCACACACTGCATTGGTTGCATGCTGAATGTAGAATTAGTGTGGCCCTCGAGCGTAAACAATACCATCTTTATATACCTAAATGAACTGTACTAAGCGTTGGTTTTTGAGACCAAAATCCCTTACTATCTGACTCGATGCATTCCATACTTAAATTGTAAAGTAATTGAAATATATATTTGTAAAAGACCTTAACTTATAGTATCGCTTGGCTTTTCACACCTTACAGGTAATATCATATACACATTATTAGATGTCAAACACAACGAGTCTCCAACACTTTATCATGCATTGACTTATATCGATAAGCTATGTCCGCTACGGTGAATTACGGTAATTTATTACCATCGAGTTTACATAACAAACCTGCAAAACGAGTCGACGCGCTTATTCGAAATGCATAAAAGTCGACAAAAGTTTACAAGATATACGATTCGTGTTGCGTCCATGGTAGGGGCTGCGAACGAATAAGCGATTCAAATGCTAATATATCACAAGGCGGCGTGGCGTGATGCCGCTCATTGGCTACGCTATTTCCATTAACATACATAACAGTGGTTGCCCCGCCCACTCTGCACGTCACGCCGCTTCCGAACGTTAATTACTAGTAATTAGCGGATCGTGACTGGAGTCGCGATGGACTCACAAATATGCAATAATCACTCGATGAACATAATGCAACCTGTGTGTACGCTCTATGGACTCAATTAACTGCATCGATAACACAAGAATTCAAATCGATAACCACTTAAGAATCGATATAAATTACATCTCAATGCACATAGAAATTCTAAATAGATAACTCAAAACATTAAATGCGGAAAGTTTGATAAGTAGTTAAATGAAAATTTTACGTAACAGAAAAAATCTTTATACATTTTTAAAGTATTTGTATCATTATAAATCGATATTATATAATTTGAATAGTTTACCGTGTGTATAAGTAAATTTGAAATTACTATAGATTTCGGATATCTGTGAAAATATAAAATCTACCTGATTTTCATGATAACCGTAGAACGTATTTATATTTACAGATATTTTACTTTAATTTCATAAAAGCTTATTGCGAGAAGCGGAATAAGAAAAGAACAAGTTCTTGACTATTTTCCAATAACAGGCTCACCCTTCATCAATCCGTACTTGCAGCAATTACAAATTAGTTCTTAGTAATGTATCACTGCTAAGCACGAATTTCTAGCAGTGCCGGATACTGGCGTGTAGCTTGAGTAACAAATCATAAACAAACTGCTCGGGGCTCACGAGTTCACCAAATAAGGTACTTAGGATGTCGATGTTCGGTTGTACAAAGGATTTATGTCGGCTGCTTTTGGCGCAAATTAACCGAGTGTCAAGGTGTAGGCGTGACCGGACTAATTTGTAGCAACACTCAAATAATAATGTTTTTCTAAGTAACTTGTATGTTAAGGTAACGTAAGGATTAACTTGGCTTTAATCAATTATTTTAACATACCAAAATATCGATAGTCATTGGATCCGGTTCCCTGTAGCACATATTACTTACAAGATTAGATTTAACGCTCGCCCATAGATGACAAAAACAACATAAAATTATTTCTTTCTTTCCTGAACAAACGTTATTTGCTACCAGTATTAATCACGAGGCATAGTCGTATCGATCTGTCAAAATTATTGTGCTATAATGATATTGTAAGACAATACAAATTCATACTCGGCGTTATCGTCGACGAAATCTTGAATGGACAGACAGCATTGGCGGCCGAAATGTGCGTGGAGATACGTGGGTGATGCACGCAGCGATCAATCATACCGAATGGAGTTGTCCAATCGAGCGTAGCAACTGTACTCTTCTTAATGTTTTTTGTAATACCTTCAAGTGTCGTAACTTGGTAACGTGAAAGAAATAATTTGTATTTCGTTTTTCAACGATATTTTACTTGTATGACTTTATATTACACCAGCACCTTTATCCACATGTAATATTTGTAAGTAACCTGACAAGAAAATCTTTGTAAACCCAAGCTGTTATAAACTATTGACTAGTTTATAACAGCTTGCTAAAGAGAGCATTTGGTTTGAACTTATGTAAATTGATCATACGAAAGAATTTCGAGTGGATAGTTTTGAAATATGACAAAATCGATATCGAATTAAGAACGGGACCGCTCTAGTAGAGATTAAAGCTGTCACTACAGATAATGCACAGCGTCTGTAAGGAAACTTGTTCACGCGTAATATGTATTTACGGCATAATAAGGTAGCCAATAAAGTTATGTCAATATTTAATTGAAAAAACGTCGTGGATTCGGTACCAAGTGGTCCAGATTGCGATGTCGCAAGCCTGTGGGCGTGTGCGGCGCGTAGGAGCCGGCATCGATCACGATGGTCACCCTGCCACAGCTCGCCTTATTTCGCAATTACTGTGTACATTTTAGCGTACCGACGTTTCTCCGATGTCGAATAACTCGCCACAGACGACAGCTCGAATTTCTTAATAAAACTAATTACCTGTCTTTATTTTTTTATACAGCAATGTATGCAATTCATTAATTATGTAAATTGCAATTCCATTATGTGCTAAAAATAAATTATCGAATCATGTAATCTTATTTTTTTTGTTGTTGCAGGTCGGTGGCGCACGAGCCCGATGAGCGCGTGCGCGGCGGCCGCCATGCGCGAAAAACACGCGGCGCCGCGCCGCCTTGCCTCCCCGCCCTCCTCGCCGCACGACACGCACCCTAGCCCTCTCGGCTCCCCTCGCGCCGATGAGCCGCTCGACCTGAGAGTAACCCACAAGCGGCCGCAGCGGCTCGAGGATGAGAACTGCAACCTGATCGTGCCCTCTCCGCCGCCGCACCCGACGCACCCAACGCACCCGGCCCACCCTGCGCACCCAGCGCTGCTACAGTTTTGTCGACGACTACCGCTAGCTTTACCAGCCTCCTTCGGCCGCTACCCTTTCCTCCCGGCAGCCGCGGCGACCCTCCTAGCTCCGGGGGCACCGCGGCCACCGCCCGTGCCGCCGAACCCCGGAGTCAACAGAGCTCGCGATCGGTACACGTGCTCGTACTGTGGCAAAGCGTTTCCACGCAGTGCAAACCTCACCAGACATTTACGGACGCACACGGGCGAACAGCCCTACCGCTGTAAATACTGTGAACGTTCCTTCTCCATTTCGTCGAATCTCCAGAGACACGTGAGAAACATTCATAATAAAGAGCGACCGTTCAGATGTCGCCACTGCGACCGTTGCTTCGGGCAGCAAACTAACCTCGATAGGCATCTGAAGAAACACGAGGCGGAAAATGGGGACGACGGCCGTCGAAGATCACCGGAGGAGACATACTTCGAGGAGATTAGATCATTCATGGGGCGCGTGGCCCCGGCGCGCCGCGCAGCAGCAACGGCTGCCACCGGCCTCGACCACACCTGATAGTGGCCGAAGTCAAGCTAATTCTCCGTTGCAATTATCTGGTCGAAGCATCCAAATGACACTTGTGTATAAATATAACAATACCTTGTACTATGTATGATATTTTCGATCGGTATGACGCGCCAATGAAACTATTATGCTATCTAGTTATACCTCTACCTTATTGTTATTAAATAAATGAACCTGTTCTGTATTATAATAAAAATTCTGTATATATGTCTTTATTGTTACCGAGTCCACTTGATTTACCTCTAATTCTTGGCGAAGTCTAGTGATAGGGGCTACTCGCCACCCTGTCTGTCTTACGGTAGCTTGATAGATGTATTAACGAAGTGATAACTTGTCGCGTACGTAATGTAAATATAAGATTGTGCAAACTAGTTTAGTTCCGTACCGAATTTTTCACTACCGATAGAAGTTATACTAGAGTAACGGATAATATATTCCTTAAGCATCGTTGACGTTAGTCAAACTATGCTAAGGTCCTCTTTACATAAGGCTACGCAAATCTCTGATAAAATTGTTTGATCCTTTTGTCGCAAATATCACGTAACGCGCGTTACAGGTATAGCATAGCGACTGACAAGAATTTATGAAAAATAGTGGCAATTTTTTTAACGTTCTGCACCAATAGAGAATCTATCAGGAATTTTGTATAAGATGTCATGCACAAATTCTAATACAAATATAATGTTAGGAAGACATTCTCAAGCTCTTTGGTAGCGAGCGACTGGCTTCGGCGACGAAGATCTAAAAAGATTGTATTGAAAAAATCGCTTAGACACTATTATAAATTGCAGGGTATCGGATATTTGCATAGCCTTGTGTACGAAGGGCCTTTAGTGTTCCGAGAGTGTTCGCTACTTTAGATTTACAATTTAATAATATATATTGTATGAATGTAAGTTGACTTCTTGTACTATTTTTGTATAAAATTTGCTTTTTCGATGTAAAATATTTAGTTATGTAGTCTGAAAGGAATCGCCGGTTACCAATAAATATTTTTAATTTGTTGCTTATTGATGATATTATGAATATATTTTAATAAAATGTTAAACAATTTGTTTAAAAATGATTGGATATCTTTAAATATTATTATAATGTGTGTTTCGTAAATTATTTAGTTTTATTGCTTCATTACGCAGAATGCGAGAGACTCTAACTCGCGATTGTTAAGTTTCCAAATATTACGAAAAACAAATATGTATATACAAGTTTTGAGATTTTAAATTAGATTTTATATGAAAATATATGAACGGAAAGTTCGAAAAAAGATATTAAAAATTGAAGCTCTAAATTAAGTTACATAATATCTGTGATTTTATTTATTACTTGGCTGCAATAAAAATCCATAACAATCTTTTAAGCCTAAAAATATTACAAAGAACTACACTAAACGTTCCTTTAGGAATAGATAGATCTCCGGTACTGTTGCTACGAGTATAATAAGTCATGGACACAAATAATCTATACCTCGAATCACCTTATTTGGTACTGCTTAGAAAAAATATGTAACACAATTCAATTTGAAAGTAAAACGTGTATTTTATTTGTGTTTTCATCATCATCATCATTATCAGCTCACTATACGTCCCCACCGAGGGGCTCGGAGCCTACCCTAAGTTAAGGGTGATTGTTGATTGATTTGTGTTTTAATAAAGTCAAATTACAAAAATTATTGATTAACCGTTTGATAACACACTATCTTTTGCAAATAATCAAGTAAAAAAAAAACTCGTTGATAACTGGACTAATAAAGAGTGTAAAATTTACAATAACGTTTTCATGACTTTACCTTTTCTTGTACTCGTATCAAATATTACTATGAAATGTTTAAGAGATGCTATTTAACTTATCACTAGATTTAAATGAATATAGAGATTATTATTACCTTGTCGTTTTGTACTTTTGATACCTATTAGTTGTTCAAAGGTCACCGATTACCTTGTCAAAATAAATATTATGAAATTTCTTATGTCTTTCTTTTACCCCAATTATATGCATCACAGCAATAATTTGAATAAAGAATATTTTTCTAGGATACAAGAATAACATATCATGACTCTTTTCATCTCTTTTTCCACAATTGAAAATATAGAGACAGATTTTTTTATAGACAATTAAAGTAATATAACAAGTTTAAAACAAAGTTGATTAGATCTAGGCATATTGTCAATATAAATCAAAAATTTTTTGTTCGTACCAGTATTACAAAACACATAAACTGTCCGCCATCTTGTCATTCATAACACAGGTGTTAGAACCATTATACAATAAATGGCTAGAACATAAATTCAAAGGCGTAACAACGATAATAAGGTAGATAAAAGATAAAGTACAATATGTAACAGCTCACGATACCATAAACGCAACACTTATTGACATAAACAAGAATGAGATCTAATTCAAATGGTATTCAAATGGTACGCCATTTTGGAATCGAAGGGCACCGGGGCGCGGGCGGGGGCGGGGACGTGCTTCGTTGCGCAGCCTCGTGAACGTTTACGATACGATTATACTTTATTGCCATTAATTTGCGACAAACGAAACCGCCCAGAAACATCGAGACGGCCATATTGGAGAAACACAAATTTATTGAACTAATTGACTGTTGTGCATACTAAAAACTAAACTACTTTATAAGCCACCAACTAGCGTTTAACATTATTTTTCTAATTATTAAAACCAATTAAAAATATTCTCATCTTATCGTGATCATCATATCAATATCAGTTTCAATAGGTTAAAATTACGGTATTAAACAAACTGTAACAAAGTAAGTATTCAAAAGCTTGGCAAAAGAAGTAGCTGTGATTTCAGATTGTTGATTGATAACAACATCGAGACAAATAAGACGATAAGTTTCAATTGAATAACTGAGATATCTATCTCTATCCATCCTCATTTAGTTTAAAATAGTCTGTTAACGACTAGAAAAAGTAACATCCTGCGACCATTGCACAGAAGAATAATATCATTATATGAATTATTTCTCGATAACGGTAGCAATAAAAACTTCGAGTCAATAAATTCCTACGCAAATAATCTAGTATAGATCTAGGTCCAGCGCAATGTAACTATGGCTATCATTCCGAATGCGACTTTAACGGAATCACTGTTTGCGCAGCGGGCCAAGTGATGTGCGTTGAGCGATTACCAAGTATTTTATTATAATATACATATTATTTAACGAAAAAGAAGAAATATTAGCATTCATATGACATATAAAAGAAAATCAAAAATCTTACTGATATTTGGATAACTTTAAATTGAGTTTGAATTAAGTAATTCAATGGCTAAAGGACTTTTACATGGTTAAAAAATGAATAACACCTTAAAAAAATTTTTACAAATCTCTGAGGATTATTATTTTTTTTTTTATAACAGAAGGGGGCAAACGAGCAGCGGGAACACCAATTTGGGTACCAAACAAAGATTAAATTTCCAGACTTTCGCTATTAATTAACATCATATATGAAATAAAATCTTTCAATTACATTGTTTAAACTACCGTACCAACCATGTCCATAAATTCAAATTACGTCGTGCTCTCTATCTGTTTCGCCGCAATCCTCAAAGCGAAAGTTAATGTTAGGCACGAAAAGCTTATAGCTTGCGACGATAGAAGTAGCAACAGGGTGGGGCCGGTTGCACAACGATGACACGGCACAGGCGCGGACCGGGCGCGGGAGGGGCGCGGGCACCTTGTTAGCGGCGCGTGCGCAGCCGCCGCGTTGCGTTACATTATTTATTGCTTATTGAAAAACTGACGGTCGCCCGCGCAAAATTAGAACTTTTGTGGTCTGCGCTGTTGCTAACTTTTTTAAGTATCAATTTTTGCACCGTCGTAAAAGTTGTGTGGCAATCTAATGGCAAATTATTGTTACACAAAACATCGATGCAATATTTCTATATTCTAATAAGGAAAAGGAGTTGAACAAAAAAAAATGAAAGTGGTTGTTGAAATAGACATAGTAGCAATTTTTTTCTTAAGTTAAACCCATTAAGATATAATTGATAAATGAGCTCAAAATTTTAACTTAAATTGATAAAAGTGTACCTCGGTAGTATGGACACGAGTTAAAAAGGAGACTTAAAGAGAGTAATAAATACTTAAAGATACACTGAATGCCACTAACGAGACGCTTTCTGTGTGACATCCATTTACTTCTCAATTTCAAAGTTGATTTCCTCTTTAGAAATTAAAATTTACGTAACATCTAAAAATGTCTTGTTTTTGGCTAACGGCAACTAAATATAAGGACAGAAAATTACTATTGGTATTTTTATTTCTGATAGCCTGAGGTCTGATGGCTATCACACCCTCACGGAATCAAAAAGTAACCGACTGCATAGATACATAAACCGTCCTTAAACAATATGCAGTGAAGAAATGTTTAGCTTCCTTTTTAACTTGATAAGCCTGATTTCCCCAAGTGTCAAAAAAACTTAAAAAATTAAAATAAAAATCTTTCGTTATTACGAAAGTTTGCTTGCATTATGTCAGATAATTTATACTTTGGATATTGTCTTGTCTTGTCTTTGACAATGCCGAGTTGTGCAAGTTATAAATATGAACTTTCGTCTTTGAATTTAAAAAGAAGCTGAGTTGCAAATTATTATTATAAAAAAAACAACAGCCCATGCAGATATGAATATAACCTTATTATAAATAAAATCTTAAGCAAGTACTAAGACGTGAAATGTATCCAACGAGACGAACAAGCCTGTGGTCAGTTGCATGATTTTGGGAGCGCACTTGCGGTGACAAGACGCCGATGTAAAGAACTCTAGAAGTGTCACTTTCACTGTTCTACTATTTTTTATCTTGGAAAATTAAGTCAGCAAGCGATATAAGTTTTAAAACAGTCATTTTCGGAAAAACTAAGCAAATCCAAATCTTTTATTTTTAATTTAATGACATTAACATTTTTGTGTGATATGATAAAATTGAATAGGTATCAGGTGCTTTACTTTTTCTTCAGATGAGTTTTTTATTAACTAAATAATAAAAATGTATGAAAAAATTTAAAAAAGCTATTTTTCATTTCCTAAGGAAATAAAAAATGGTTCTCAGTTCCGTAGCGGTGTAAATGAAAACCAAAAAGAAAGAGTCTATTCCAGTAACAGTATATTCGGTGTTCTCGAACAGGTGACCGATCCATCACCTGTGCTCGGTGACGTGTTTAATTAATGGAAAGCAAGGTCGGCTGACGAAATAGGCTTACAACCACTCTGGTGTCTCACAAACCCAGTGTCTTACGCAAACTTTTCTAACACAAAGAACTCTCTCTTACCACCACTACTTTTATTTTATAATGTATTAAGTTGGATTTAAGTTTATTTGCCAAGTAACCAAACGGTTAATAAATTAATATTTCAAAGTAAATACAAATGATGAAATAATAACCAAATAATTGTATTTAACATGGCACCAACAATCTTAATCAGCAATAAAGTAATAAATTAAACACATTTTTATAGCAAAACGTATAACAAATATGAAAAATGGCGTGAAATAAGGTGTGCGAGATACAATTAAAGAAAAATGCGCACCGGATTTATATATATCCGTAACTCCATATCATAGCGGGCGAAGTCAAGTGTCGAATCCAGATAAGGTGGGGTCCTCGTTTGGTCATGCCTTGCCGAGATATTTTGATGAGGAGCAGATAAATTAATTACATAGTGGTTCGAATGAACGCTAATAAACTGGCAAACTCGCTTATCGATATCGACCTCTAGATAGAGCTTGGGTAATGACGCTTTAAGTCACGTGTCTTTTCGCTTCTGCAGCTTTAATTACTGCTTTATGGATTCAAGTTTAACTTAATTACAGAAAAAAAAAAACAATTTAAACGGTTTTGAGATAACTTGTTTGTACGTGTTACACTTTGTATAAAATTTCATACCGATTATTGTCAGAATACTGGTGGGTAACTTGTTATAATTCCCGTTATTTTGAACCTATACAATATTCTAAACATTC